ATATGTGGTCAATTGGTTTGGGGCAAAGGTATCCTTAAAGAAGAGAAAACCTCTTTTCAGGAACCAAAAATGTCCATCAATCCCTCAATTGCCCTTTGAGGAGAGGACACCTCAGCCTTGGAGATGTGTAAGGAGAGGCTAGATAGCCCTTTGTCCTGAAGAGACTCTTTTTAAATAAGGTGGATCTGGAAAAATCTGAATTCTCAGCCTTCTGCAATCCATCCCAGAAGTTGCTGAGGCTGCGAGGAAGCCTGGTCTCTGTCCGCGGTGCTGAACGCGCCCAGCTCACCTCAGCCTGGGCCCTCCTACCCGTGCTGTATAGCCTCAGCTCCTGGTGTGCCTGTTCTGCTTTGTTAAGTTTTATCTTGAGGCGTTTTCCTATTTGTGTGTCCCATCAAGATTTTTGTGTTAAGTATTTGTTGAATATGAAAATGCCAAACATATATAAAGTCAGAGAGAATGGAATAATGAACTTCTGTGTACCCAGCACCAGTGTCAACTGTTACCAACTCAGGTTTCATCAACTCCCACACAGCCAGATTAATTCTGAAGCAAATTTTATGTGTTATACGATTTCATTCATAGCTACATTAATATGGTTCTCTGAGAGAGAATAACTCTTTGAAAACATATTCCCGATACATTAACACACCTAAAAAGTAATGATTATTCCTTAACATCACAAAACGCCCACTTAGTGTACATAATCAGATTTATAGGCAGAGTGTCATGCTCAGAGGAATTGGGGCACCTGCCTGGGAACACCTCACATGGCCAGGATATAGTGCTGGGACAGATACCCCCTAGCATCACGTGACTCTGGCTGCAGGTTAGCACAAACTGGCCCTATGCCACAGCTGGTATTGCGCAGGTCTGAAGCATGAGGTGCTGGTTCAGGAAGGGGGTCCCATGGAGTGGCCCCAGAGGACTTCAGTACCCAGGAACTCTGAGCTCCAAACACACCCCTGCCAAAACAGATCTAGCTCAAGATCAATTACATTAGGATTCCTGCAGAAAAGTCCTGGGCATCTGTATTACTACCCAGAATCCTAGAGTCCAGACAAAGTGGAACCTGATCTGGGCTTGAATGCTAACGTCACCATTGACTGTCTGTGTGACCAGCAACAAGGAGCTTCTGCTCTGTAAGTGTCAGATTTCTTGTTGGTTTAATTTACCATGGGTCACCCCATCCTACATTTGCACCTGAAGTTTGCCCTCCAGAACAACTTCCTACCAACCCAAAATCTAGTATCCATAAAGACCAGTTGAGAAACTAGTTCCTCTGTGGTTAATCCTCTCCTGAAATCAGCTCTACTTCCCCTGACCACTGCCTATAATCTCATGTGTTAGGGACTCAGAGAAGATCTGGAGATTCCTTTGAAACCAGCTAGGCCAACATCTGATTTTAAAGGCAAGGAAATAAAGAGCTGATCAAGGAAAGGACTTGTCCAGCACAGAGCAGGTGCACGGGAAACTGCGATATCCAGGGATCTTTCTGCTGCCGAGAGCACAGGCTTGGGCATTTCCAGCTCAACCACTTCCCTTGCTGAGCTCGTTTCCTCACCAATAAAATGAGGATAATGAAGACTTCCTAGGGTTGCTGTGAGAATTACATGAGATGATGGGCTTTGTAAGATGTAAGATGATGTGTACTTGTGGGGGTTGGAAGTCCTATTAGCTCCATGGAGATAGCAATAGAGGCAGGGGAGCTCCTTGGCTGGGGATCTGCTTCAGGCATTGGGAAGCACTCAGCAAACAATCAGCTCTCAGAAAGCCAGACTGGGAGGCTTGTATCCAGTCCAGGAATATAGCTCACAAATGGGGGTCATAGCCACTCCATAGGGCTCCAGGGCCCAGAAAGGCCTCTGGCTGAGATGCTGGGAGGAAGAGGAGGGTGGATGACTTTAGCACACCTGATGGGAGGCCAGACACAGGGGCCAGAGAGGGCTCTGACCTCACACAGGTCTGGGCTCCAACCTTAGCCCTTCTGTGTTTTGTCTGGACTGCTCCTCACCCTGGGGCAGATGTGAGACTGAAAGGAGGCCCAGCACACGCCAGCAGGTCGTTAATGAACCTTTCACTCCTCACCGCCCTTTCTGAGACTCTACCATTTAATGTTGTCTGTCAGGAGCATTTAAATTTCTCAAGTAAACATTCATGAGGTGTGTGTCATTATCTCCATTTTATGCAAAGGAAGACTGAGGCTCTGAGAGGTGAGGAATTTCCCTGGGTCACAGCAATTCTGAGTTGGAATTGCCGAGATGGAACAGACTCAAATCTGGGCCAACCTGAATTCAGAGCCCAAGGTCTGCTCTGTAACAAATCAAGCTCTGTGTCAGGAGGATCCTAGTAATAAGTCAGGGGACTATGACCTGGGTCAGCTCCTGGGCTGCCAGCTAGGCCAGCTCCAGGCTCAAGGAAAGGCATGGTGCTGATGGTGAATGGTGCTTTGGTGATATCCACCAGGTTGGTTTGAGTCAAGCTCATTCATTCTGAGGTGGCAGTGCTGGCCATAGGTCCAGTGCTGGCCATATTCCATCTGGGGTACTGCTGGACCTCCTGCTCCCAGAGGGTCATGAACAAACTGGGGGTATGGGTCCAGAGCTTCCTGAGCTGCATCACAGGGTGTGGTGCCCCCTCTAGGAGCAGTTGTACAGGGCAGGCTGTATGCAGGAAGAGCAGAACCAGATCAACACCTTGCTGTCCTTGCAGGCTGCTCCAGGCAGAGGGTGCAGAGTACAGAGTGCAGAGTGGGGATCAGTGGGAAAGCCACAGGCAGCTGGACTTTAATACATTTGGGAAAATACCCAAGAGTTAAATAAGACATAAAACCGGGAAAGTGCTTCCAAACTGTAACATAGTTTGAGGGATGCTTGCGAATGTTGTCTGCAATTGGCAAGTTGTGAGCAGATGACCTTGACATGAGTCACAAATAATAAAGATCAAAGAGAAGTTTTTAGAACAGAGTGTTGTAAACAAATGAGATTTTCAACCTAGTAAGTCAGAAATATTTCACTACATGCTGTTTGGCAAAGGAGAACGATAGTGAGGGTGGTGGGCATGGCCAGCTCTCTTTTCCCAGCCTAAGACACAAAACAAAGCAATAAAGACCAAGACAGCACAGTTCAAAGACCACCCTAAGTAAAGAACTGACAAGGAGGGGGTGATGGAGGATGAGTACCTATGGACGTGGACGTGTCCATGATGAGAGACAAGAGACAGAGACAATATTCTAAAAGGCCTCCTGAGAGGCTAGATCTTTAACCTGGAGGCCAAGGCCCCTGTGGCTAATCCTCCCCTTTCCCCTGGGGGAAGAAAATCCCAAGCCCAGCACCCAGGTGTGAGGACAGTGCACACAGTATCCCAGCCCTGTACAGTGTCATGGGGGCTGCAGGTTGTCTTGATTCCAACTGGGACAGCCCCTTCCTGACACAGGGGACTGTGTCTACGTTTGCTTCCACCCAGGGGGACAACAAGAGGGGAGCAGAGGCCAGCTCAGACCGAACAGATTCTAGCTATGGTGGGAAGAAGGAGAGCCCCACATCTTCTCTCTGCCCCCTCCTCTCTCCTTTTCCAGTGCTGCCCCACCCCTAGGTCTTCCCTTGGTCCACTTGCTCTCTCTTCACTCACCTCTTTGCTCCCGGCCCAAATCCAAACTCCTCATCATGCTGATGGTGCCCTCCAGCCCCTGCCCTGCCCCTGCCCCTGCCTCCTGGCTCACAGTGAGAGCCCCCTCAGCAGTGCCAGCCACCTGCACGTCCCTCTGCTTGCAAAACTCTTTGACCCTCAGCCTAAGGCCTTGGCTCAGCAATTATGTCCTTCTCAGGGAGGCCCTCTCAGACCAGCGGGGCCATTGCTGTTCCCCAATCCAAACCTGCCACCCTTCTCACCCGGTTTTGTTTCCTTCACAGCACTACTGCTCCTGGGAGGATCTTGTATTTACATTTTCCTGTTTGGATCTGTATTTACATTGTCCTGCATCTGCTCCCAAACACCCACCAAGATGTAAGTTTTGTTCACGGCTATGTCACAGAGCCTGTCACTCACTAAGTATAAGCTGGGTGAATGAATGAATGAATGAATGACTGAATGCCTCGCTGTGTCTTTAGCTCACATATTTATTACTTGCGCCCTCTGCTCCCGTTCATGCCTCCATCCCTCTCCCCACACATGCACTAGGGATGAGAGTCTCTCCAAGAACAAGGGGAGCAGTGACTTCGGAGAGGCCAGAGGCCTGGTGTCCCCAACACCCCCTCTGCTCTCAAGCAGAGGGGCTAGTGAGGGGTGGAGGCCCTACGATGTTGCAGACCTTCTGAAGGAATGAGGCCATAGCGGCAGCTGGGGCCTCTGGACCCGACAGAAGCACCTGCAATGGGATCCTGATGAGACCAGAATACCTCCTTCCTCCACCTCCCCATCTCCTCCACCTTCCCTCCCACGGGCTGGACCTGACAGGAAGTCAGGGACCAAGGATTTCTGCGTGGGATAGATCACAGGGATTACTCCCGAGGGCCAGTGCAGAACAGAAAGGATGGGAGAGGTCCCATCCCCCGCTCCCCACTGCCACTGCAGCTTGCTCCTTGGGTGTCCCAGCCTTGTCTCTGTCTTCTGAGAAGTGCTGTGCACAGCTCTCCTGTGCACAGCTCTCCTGTGCAGTCTACCCTCCAAGCCTCCCACAAGCAAATTCTGGAACTCAGATATGTGTCTCAGCTCCTGCCAACTGTTCTCCCCCTGTTGAGAGGGGGCAGGGGCAGGGCAGGTAACCTGGGTACACAGCGACCTGGAGATATACCAACAGGCTGGGTCTCTTACACAAAAGAAGTACCCAGGCCTCGGGCAACCTGCTCCAAGGTGCAGGGGCTCCAGAAAGGCTGGTGGGGCCTCCTCCCACCAAGGCAGATATGGGCACACAAGATGAGGGCTGGAGCAGAAGTCGAGGGAGACCAGTCTCTGGGCTGGCCCAACTTAAACCCCTCAGGCCTGATGGGTGGGCCCCAGCTTCACAATGGGGTGCTATGAGTAGCTGCCCCAGGCTGTAGGGTGCCTGTGTCCAGGGTGCTGGTGACAGGCGGGCTGCAGAGGGAATAGAAGTCAGTGTGAGTTTTGTGAAGGGTGTGTGGGGGTGGCCCCAGCCACAGTGAGCCTGGATATCTCTTCTCTCAAATCCTGTTCTGAGGAAGGACTCGAGGTCCTCATTGGAGCCTAGCTGGAGGGCAGAAAGATCTAAGGATGGCCACTCCTAGAACTGCACTGATTCCCCTACTAAACAGATGGCTGTCGAGCGGGTAGGGGAGGACTGCCAGGGATACTGCCAGCGGGGACCCTGACCACACACAGGGCCAGCCTGGCACAAGGTCACATGAGGACATCTGGAACAATGGCAGGACCAGCAGAGAGCTAACAAAGGAGGGAGATGTGCTTTGTGACTGTTCCCAGCAGGTCACACAGACTGACCACTGTGACTGGTCCAAGTATCCAGCCCTGCTCTACACATAGTGGTGACAAGACACACGTGACAGCGGCTGCACAGGTGGATGGCCAGAGTGACATGGGCAAGTGGGCGGGATGACGGCCCACATGGCCTGCCCAGGGTCCAGCGATTCAGCTCTGCCTCCCCTCTCCCTCTCTCCAGTCAGCACGGAACCCTCCCCCAAGCCCTCTGCCCCCCTCACCTGACCAGCTCAAGTAGCTGTGCCTTCGTCCTGGAGTAGAACTCGTGGGTCACAGTCCACAGCAGGCCCTGCATCCAGCACAGGTCCGTGGGCATGTCGGGCAGCCACTCCGCCAGCCTGGAGGGCAAGCAGCATCATCCTCATGGGTGGCCCCAGTGTGCAGCCCCAGCAGAGCCAAGGGCCCTGCCCCTGAGGGCTGCCCAGACCCAGACCAGGAGAACAGGTGCTGAGCAGTGTTAGTCACCACTGACATGGCAGAGCAGGTTGGCACCACAAGGTCAACTGCAATAGCTAAATGATCCCCGATGGGCTTTGAACTTGGTGGAGGTGGCCAGGCCGTGGGTCATCAACTCCACAGGGCACAAACAGGAAACCCACGAGGAGAGAGGGCAGGGCTTTGGGGTCAGACCAGCTTGGGGCTGCAGGGCAGCTCTGCTACACATCAGCTGTGTGACCTGGGCAGGTCAGGGAACCTCTCTGGGCGTGTTTTCTCACCCACGAAATGAGGGCAGTCACCCCACTATGGTTCCTAACCTCCTCCATATCTCCATCCATTTCTCTTCTCCCAAGACCAGCCCCTGCCCTTCTCACCCCAGGCTCCTTCATGCACTATCTTCTCAGACACCAGTGACTTTCCTAAAACACACATCTGACCATAGTCCTCTCTGGCTCAAAATGCTCCCATTGCTCCCCTTGTGACAGAGTTAGCAGCAGATTCAGGATGCTGCAAACTGCATCTTGTCCCACTGCAGAGGAGAACAAGAGTCTCTCTGCAGAGACAATGCCTGCAGGGCCAGCAGGACCACAGCTGAGAAAGCTCTGGGCAGATGCTGTAGGGCCTTACCCTGTGCCACATTGCCCCTCGTGGGGCCCCTAAACCAGGGGCTCAAAACACGTGTGCAGTTCAGAGGGTATGATGTGACAAGGGAAACATAAGCTGGACCATCACCTCCCTTGTTCTGGATCTTTTGCCTCTATTAATGTAACCTACATTTTGAGCATGTGCTTTATGGAAAATACCAAGGATGAATTTCCTGAGGGTCTAGGCTCCACATCAGTCCTCACATGTAGATTCTTTTTTTGTTTTTGTTTTTTACTGAAAAGCCCAGACCTTACATTTATTCTTTTTTATTTCAACTGTGGTTTCAGTAAACAGCTCAGTATAAGGAAAATCTCAGCAGGAAGCTGTCCCAGGCTGGGAGCAGTGGCCCACACTTAAAATCCCAGCACTTTGGGAGTCCAAGGCAGGAGGATCACTTGAGGCCAGGAGTTCCAGACCAGCCTAAGCAGGTAGCTTAGTGCAGTGACTCAAGCCTGTAATCCTAGCACTCTGGGAGGCAAAAGTGGGAGAACTGCTTGAGTTTAAGAGTTCCAGAGCAGCCTAAGCAAGAGCAAGACCTCATCTCTACTAAAAATAGAAAAAAAAAACCTAGCTGGGCATGGTGGTAGGTGCCTATACTCCCAGCTACACAGGAGGCTGAGGCAGGAGGATTGCTTGACCCCAAGAGACTGAGGTTGCTGTGAGCTATGATGACACCATGGCACTCTACCCAGGGCAACAGAGTGAGACTCTTTATCTCAAAATAAAAAACACATTAATTAATTTTTTTTAAAAAAACCAGCCTAAGCAACATACCAAGACCTTATCTCTACAAATAGAACAAAATTAGCCAGATGTGGTGGCATGAACTTGTAGTCCCATCAGGGGGATCACTTGAGCCCAGGAGTTTGAGGCTGTGTTGAGCTTGATTTTGCCCCTGCACACAAGCGTGGGGCCACTGGCCATTTAAACAGCAGAACTGACACAATTATGAGCGCAGTGTGGAGCAGGACCTGAGGTTCACTGTCACAAACTTTCTTCCAGAGAGCACAGAATTTTTTAAATTACAGCTCTCCCCATAACACCATCCTGCATAAATCCTTCACTGCCTTCCCACCACTCTCAGGACAGAGGCCATAGAGAGCTGGCAGCAGAGTCCCCTGTGCCTGCCCTCACCAGCCTCCTGGGCCATGGGCCTCCCTTCCTGCTCCTCACATGGGCCCTACTCACTTCTACCACAGGACCTTTGCAGATGTCCCATCTGCCTGAAATGCTTTTCCCTTCCCCCCTTGCCTGGTGGACTCTGACCCATCCATCAGATGATAGCCCAAAAGTCATCTCCTCTGGGCAGCCTTCCCTGGCTATGCCAGCTCAAAGCCAGTGTAGACCTGTCCCAAGTATCTCTGGTGGAGTACTGACTGCACTGGTGAATGTGTGATCTTTGGTAGGCCATGAGCTCCATGCGGCCAGGAACCGGGTCTGGGCCAGTACTGCCTCCTTAGCTAGCCCCCAGCCAGTCCTTGGCCCTTGAGAGATCCTCAGTGACCACTGGTGGAATGAATGAATAAATATGCAGTGATCCATTAGTCAGCAAGTCAGAATGGCTAACAAAGGCTTAACCACAGCCAGTCTGACTTGGAAGAGCCTTATTTTATAGGATAGGAACCTGTGGCCCAAAGAGATCAAGAGACTTGGCCCAGACCCCACAGCTAATCTGAGCTAGGCCAGCTTCTAGGGTTACTCTCAGGAATCACTCTGCCAGGCGGAGCAATGGGAGAAGTCACATAGACAGGGGAGGGCCTGACTTCTGATCGTAGCAGGCCCACTGCCTCCCACCAGTCTCGTTTTGCAGAGGGGACCACCAGGGCTGTGGGTCCTACAGCCAGCACCAGGCAGCACAGGGAGACCTGTCAGGCTCTGCACCTGCCCAGCTCTGCCTACCACTGTGACAGCCACCTTCCTCCTCCATGGACACAGCTCTCTGCCAGGATCCCAGCTGTAAGCCAGGCCCCTCCCAGGCCCCTGGCTGAGTCTTACCGTCTGCTCCGGAAGTAGATATACTCAAAGGGCAGTGTGCAGGGTAGCAGCAGGTATGTCAGCACCTGTCCTGGCCCTGAGCGCCAAAAGCGGGCCCAGGGGCTGGGGTCCCTCATACAAGCTTTCTTCAGTGCTACAAGAGAAGCCACAGCATGGCCCTGCCCACCTGGAGTCCCTGCACTGGCAAGCCCCACCCAGCCTTCCCGTCAGCCCTGAGGGCCTGCAGGCAAGCCCTTCATCCAAAGTCTGCACCCTACCTTCTGCAGAGGAAGAAACACATTGACCAAGCCCCCACCATGGTCCAGCAGGCTGCCAGGTCCTCAGTACACACTCTCCCATCATTGTGCATGAGATGTGCAGGGTGTGCACATCTCACTCCCAACTTACCCCTGCTCCTTACCCCCACAACCACTATGCTGCAGTCACACGGGCCTCCTAGCTCTCCCTCCCCAACCCCAGGACCCTTACACATGCTCCCCCTGTGCCTAGATGCTTGTCTTTGCCCCCTTTCATAGATGAGGAGACTGAGGTTCAGAGTGGAGAAGTGACTTTCCTAAGGCCATCACCAAGAAGTGGTACAGCCAGGATGGACTAAACCTGTCAGGCTCCTGAGCTATTTCCACCTCTGCTGCCTCTCAGGAAAGGTTGCCATGGCCCCCTAGGATAAGCCAGGTGGCCTTACCACATCGCCCTCAATAATAGTTACATGTCAGTGTTCTTAACAACTACAGTGGTGGCTGTGACCACAGCATCCAGTTCCTTCTGTTCACTAACCTGACCAGAGTGGAAAGGATCAGCATCAGGGCTGCCTTGACTCTTGTCAGTGTCATCTGCAGACATTGCTTTTAAGGGGTTGATGACAACAGTCTACCTGCCATGTGTCCTAGAATGAGTCCTTCCCCTTCTCGGAGCCTAGGTCCCCCTTTCTGTAAAGAGGATACCAGCAGGACCTCCCTCCATGGGGACACAGATAAGGATTGTGGAATGTCTCTAAGGATCTGGACAGACAGCAATTCCCTTCCCAGCTAGGAGCAAGGTGGAGGACCCAGGGAGTTGGTGGCCCATCCTAGGGATAGCTGTCTGATGCTCCCATGTGGTAAAGGGACAGTGCCAGAGTTCCAGAACCCCAAGGTTGGACCTCAGAGCTCAGAGCAGATCCAGGCCCATTTCCACCCATGCTTGTGTGGCCTCTGGCACAAAAAAGGGCACCCTCATCATTCCCTCATCCCCTCGCCCACCCCCCCGTACCTGCTTTGATGTTGACAACCATCACCTCTTCTCCCAGCCTCTGAGTTTCCGGCCTCACCCTTGCTGGTTAAGTCCACTTTGGCCCCCAGTGGCTCCCACCTCTCTCCTCCTGCAGCTTTCCGGGCCACCTGCCCAACCCTCCCAACCTCCCAACTCACCCCTGCTCCTCTACCCCCACAACCACTATGCTGCAGTCACACAGGCCTCCCAGCCCTCCCTCCTCAACCCCAGGACCCTTGCACATGCTCCCCCTGTGCCCAGATGCTTGTCTTTGCCCTCTCTTTGCCTGGCCCACATCTCCTTTCAAGCCTCACTTAGGTGCTACTCAAATCACACCCACCATCACTGCATGTGCCTGGGGGACCTGGTAGTTTCCTGTTGTTGTGCTTACAACATTTAGTCATGGAGCAGGAAAGCAAGCTAAGTGGTGCAGAGAAGAATTCCTGGTTCTGCTGTGAAAACTTGGACAAGTCACTTAACTTCTCTGTGCTACAGTTTCCTCATCTGTACAAAACAAATAATTCTGTACCATCCTCAGAGGATTGTGAAAACGAGTCCATCTCCATCTGGGGGGTCCAGAACCCTTTGTGTGTGCCTCTCCTATGCCCTGTACCATCCTCAGAGGATTGGTCCATCTCCATCTGGGGGGTCCAGAACCCTTTGCGTGTGTGTCTCCTATGCCCTGGTCAGTGGGCAGAGACCTAGCTTTCTTAGGCACAGACATGGGTTCGAACTCCCAAGTGAGGACTCTGAGACTTTGGTGAGGCCCTTCCCACTCTAGGCTTCAGTTCAAAGGCCAATGGCATGACACTGGGCAGTTAGGAGGGGCTTAGTGAATGAGTCCTGTCCTCGTCCAGACCCTGAGCACCTTTAGGTTAAAGTCCCTGAGCCCAGCCCCTGAGCACAGGCCCCTGCTGGGTGAGCAGGTTCAGGGAGGGACGGTACCAGCCTCCAGCTCTGGCGATAGCTGCTCAAAGTCCGGCACATCCTTGACCTGCACGTTGGGCACTTTCCAGTTGAGTGACAGACCCGCCTTCTGGCCGTGGTCACGGCCCACATCTTGGGTCCCATCCACTGGGGCCGGGGGCTCCTTATACACAAATGTCCACAGCACTGGTTCCTTGGTGAGTCCTGGGGCAGGAAGGAGAGAGGATATGAGGGGTCGGTGGGTTTGGAACCTCCTGGTGAAAACGACTCCGCCACTGTCCATGTGGTCCAGCCCCTCAGTGCCCAAACAAACCCATCTCTGCAACCTGCCTGCCACAGGACAGACCTGTAGTTTACCCTCCCTGCTCACCTCTCTCTGCTCTTCCCCAGCCCTGCTTGCATTCTGGTCCACTTTCTAGTCATTTATCAGAACCCAGGCCACAGAGACACAGTTCAGGGTTCAAATTCTGACTTCACCACCTGTAAGCTGTGTGATCTAACCCCTCCATGCTTCCGTTTCACACTCTGTAAACAAAGGAAAATTAAAACCTGCTTCATATGGCTGTTCTAAGAATTAAATGAAATAAACACATAAAGCTCAAGCCCAAGTCTGGGCACAGATGAAGTGTCCACAAACGCTCCCTGCTTCTGGGTATCTGGGCTGTAGAGTGGGGGCGAAGACTTGCCTTCTGGAGCCAGGTGGCCTGAGTTTGAATCTCTACTCTGCCACTTTGAAGAGCACTGCTTTGTGGGTGACGTCCAAGCTCTCCAACCCAGAAGACTTCTCTCGCCCATGCACAGGCCCATGAGCGCACATGCACACCCACAAACACACACTCATGCGCACGCACATGCGCCCTGACATGCTGAGTTAGGTGCTCTCAAGGCATCAGCCTCTGTTCCTTTGCTCTTGCTCATCTCCCCTCTCCCTGGAATGCCCTCTTCTTTTGCATTTTTAACCTTGCCATCGTCTTCATAGCTAGTCAAAACCCAGCTACTCTGTCACCGCCCCCAGGATGGACCTGCCCTCCTTGCCCACCTCCCCCACCTCCCCAGCCCAGGTTGAGTTGAATGCCCCCTCTGGACTCCCACAGCCTTGAGCATCCCCCTTCACTGTGTCTCTCCTCCCAGTTGCCTCTCTGAGTCTGTCCTCTTCACCAGGCTGCTGGCCACTGTGGGTCCCTGTCTAGGTCCAGCTGAAGCCAACCACAGAGTGGATGCTGAGGAAGCAGAGTGAGCTCAGGTCCCTCATAGCTCAAACACCTGAGAGGCAGGGTCTACCTGGCACCACGTGGGGCACAATCCCTAGCCACTGTGGGGCTGCCACTTACCACGTCTCTCCAGGAACCGCAGGGCATCCAGGTAGCCTTGTCTGCACTTGTCAGCCACCAACTGCCAACACACAGAGCAAGAGTGTGGTGGGCAAGGCCCAGATCACCTCCTGGGCTGGGGATCATTGACGGGAGACTTATCTTCAATAGGGACAACCCTGGCCCAATCTCTACTCCTGAAGCGACCCCCTCAGCAGGGCTCAGGGCCCCAAAAGACCCCAGCACAGGGCAGGGAAGGCCAGAGGCCGTCAGGCAGAACATATTGCTTGGGCTGGTCTGCTCCCTGACCCCCATCCACTCCTCTCCTCTGAGGCACTGTAGCTGCCTATTCTGTCCGAGCCCTGGCCTCAGTTCCCTCCTCTGGAAAATGGGTAACAAAGCCTGGGCCAGGATGCTGCTGGGACTTCAGCTGGCTTTTCCTAGGCTCCCTTTGGTGGTTCCCTTTGCCCCTTTGATGTTCATTTTCAGGACCAGCCTGAGGGGGCAGAGGGACCAGGAGCCCTTACCTGGCCATCTGATTAGAGCCCCACTCCTAGGAAGAGGCACCGCATGGCCACCTCTCTGGGACACTCAGTTTCCTTGCCTATAAAATGGTGCTGAGATTTCCCGCCCACCCCAGGGCTGTGGGAAAGAACTGAGCAGGTGAACATGACCTGGTTTTGTAGAGAGTGCCTCTCTGAGGCCTGGGATCCTCCCCCCAGGACTGATGATAGTGCCTCTCACAGAAGCTAGTGGGGCAGGGCAGGTGTGCGCACGTGGGCCTAACTCAGCACTGGCTCGGGGAGGGAAGGAAGAGCCCCAGGCTTTGGCTCGAGGTGCTTAGCTTGTGTCACAACTGCCCTGAGGCTGTGGGGGAAAAGGGTTAGGGGTGCAGAGTCTGACTCACGGGGCCCTCAACCATGAGGGGCCAGACCTACCTCAGGACTGGGGGGTATGAGGGAAATGAACCCCAGGAAGAAGTTCATGGTGGAGATTTGGAAGCTGGCATTGAAGGCATTCAGCTCATGCAGGCTGGGTGAGGTGCTCTGGGGGCAGATGTCTACTGTCCCATGGAAAGGTGACACAGTGATGGTGGAGGGGCAGTCCGCAAACGGCAAGTTGTTGCTCAGAGCCCCGTCGATGTAGCGCTGCGATTTTAGGGGTAGAAGGGATGCAGCCCTCTTAGGATCTCTGCCCTCCTCCCACATTTCCACAGAGCCCCCAGCTGAGAACGGGCTGTAATAGATGACCCCCTAGCTGCCTCTGAGCCACCAAGTCTACTCCAGCTCAGGATGCTGAACACCCCCCAGGAACAGGGAGGAGGGCTTGGCACATAGTAGGTGCTCAAGAAACTCTGGTTTCCTTTACCCACATACCTCTCAACAGTGTGTACTCTGGGTGGCCCAGAGCACAGGGCAGGGGCTTGGGCATCAAGCCTCCAACATCAACTTACCTCCCCTCTGAACTCAGGGGGAATCGTTCCACAGTAGAAAGGAAAATATAAGGTGCAGAGCAAGACCTGGGAAGACAGAATCAGCAGAGCCTCCCTTGGGCATGGTTTCTAATCCCCAGAACAGACTGTGAATGAGGTGTCATCAGTCCTGGGTCCAGACGAGGGGCTGAGGCCCAAGGAGGTATCACATCCCAGCCACACTCTGAGTCAAGCAGAGATTTGGGTACATGTCCGTGTCGTCACCCACTTTTCTCTTCCTGCTGGTGGAACCCTGGCTTAAACAAGCCACTAGGATTCTTTTCCCCTCAAGACAAACATAGGCACCAAGTACCATTTCTCCCTCGTGTGTGTGGCAGAAATACTCCACCAAGAATCCAGATATCTCTCCTAAAGAGCATTCTCTAGGCACTGGTTCAACCAGATGTACCAGGAGAGGGGAGCAGCAGAAGTCTGCAGGTGGGCAGGGCAGGACCTCTATACACCCTGTACCTCACAAGAAACCCTATGTTCTCTGTCCACTTGGGAAACACCATCTCCTCTTCCCAGTAGAGGCTCTGACAAGTCCTGTAGTAAAAACAATGCTTAGCACAGACTCTACCACTATTGATGATTGAGGCTGGATAATTCTCTTTTGGTGGGGAGAGTTCTGTCCTGTGCACTTAACACCATCCCTAGCCTCTGCCTGCTACGTGCAAGTACATATACACACACACACAGAGTGACACCAGAAACATCTCCAACATTGCCAAATGTCCTGTAGGCAGAAAATCACTTCTGGTTGAGAACTGCTGGCCCTAAGCTTACCAAATTCATTGACCATAGAACTGTGTCTCCCAGAAAACTTGAAAACGTCCCTCCTACCCATCTCTCCTTGTGGCAGGAGATACAGAACATGTCCCGGCTCTGACCAGATGGAGGTGAAGATGAATCTTGTTCCCAAAGATTAATAATAGTAATGGCAGCTAATGTTTATGTAGCATGTACTGTGTACCAAGCCCTGTGCTGAGGGCTACACAGGCAGGGATTCCAGAACACACTTTGAGACACCCTCCTCCAGCTGGCTTTCTCAGGAGCCCATGGACATTAGCCTGCAGCAAGGGACTGGCCTTCCCTGCACACTAAAAATCAAACAACTGCATTCAGGCCAGCATAGATTCAGGACAGTCACTATCTGGGCACTGAGGGCACCAGGGTGAAGTAGATATGCATTAGGGACCCTAATGCAGGTGGAAGGCAAAGCCCCCAATAGGAAGGGTGAACAGAGCCCTGACAGGGGAGGCACCCCCAGCTGAGACCTTACAGGCAGACACCTGTCTCCTCTCCTGGGGACCCGACCCTGCTCATCCCCCTGACCACCCCACAGTGAGCAGCTGGCAGGTAAGAACAGCAGGGCTTTTCCCGTGACCACGCTGGCCTCTGTCACGGCCTCCCGTGTTATTGCTGTAGTGGTCTGATCTTAACTCATGGCCTGTTTGTTGTCTATACCCACATACCAGGGAATATCACCCCAGAGAGGCAAGGCTTTTTGTCTGTTTCGTTTTCCGTTACAGTCACTAAGCCTAGAACAGCGATTGGCCTACAACAGATACCCAACAAATACTTGCCTACTATGTCAAAAAGCAAAGCACAGGGGTGGTGGCTGGGAGGCACCCACTAGAAGGAGCCTCAGAGGGGGCCCTGACTGCAGAAGACTCACTCTGCCCCCCAGCCAGACCCTTTTTTATAAAGCTAAGTGCCCCCCCCACAGCAAGCCAGGATGTCTCCAGACACCCCTGCCCTGTGCCTCGGTTTCCTCATTAATAAATCCCCCACCTCCAACAGATGTGTCTGCCCATGGGAAGCACCTGCAAGTCACTTTGGTGCTAGAGGGAGTCCACCCCCTGCTGCAGGCCTGCTCACCTGGATGAGCTCATCGCGAGTGGCAAAGTCAGTGACTATGACATTGCGGCCATCAGGCCAGTGGGTCATCGAGATGCCCAGCCTCTGGGAGGCCAGGATGTGAATGTCGTCGGGCAGAGAGTCTTGAAGTTGATGTTTGATGTGCTCGATGGGCATGTAGGCTGGGTGCAGGATGCCCAGGCTCAGCCCCTCCACCTGCTTCACCATGCCCAGGAGGTTGGAGCAGCAGTAGTCTGCAGGTTGGCAGGCAGGGCCCCTCAGCCCGGAGGGCCTGCCCACAACCTCCACACCCCTCCCCATCTCCCTCCCGCTGCAACTTGGAAGCCAGGGTCCTCCTCACTCTGATCCAAAGGTCTAGGCCCAGTCCTGAGTTCAAATGTTCCACCCGCCTTTTGCCCTCAAGTGACTTTGAGGACAGTCTTCCCGGCTTTGAGCCTGGGATGCCTCCTCTGTGAAACGGGGGTAACTACATTCCTCAGCCCTCAGGTTCTCCTGAGCATTAAATAATAAGGACCCTGAGTATAAAGCCCGCAGGGCACGGCGCCAGCGGCACAAGCTCCCCTGGGTTCCCTTCTCCCTCTAGTCAAGAATCAGGGGCCGTTGTGATGTCCCCACTCTCCTCTCCCGTGTCTGGGACTCACCGAGCGACTTGCCGCTGATGATGCTGATGGCGTTGAGTGCCCCAGACGAGGAGCCGTAGATGCGGCGGGCGCCCTGGAGGAGGCGCGGGGCGCGCTGGAGCAGGCAGTGGGACACCCCCACATGGTAGAGACCCAGGAAGCCAGCGCCGGCGAAGGACACGCTCCAGCTGCCCTCCTCCGAGAAGGCCATGGCAGGTGGGACCGGGAAGGCGGCTAAGTGACTGACGGGCCCCGAGCACTGGCTGTCGGGAATGGGACCGGGATACGGCCTGATGCGGAACGCAGCGGATCAGACCCAGATATGGCTCTGGCGGGGAGCTGGGCTGAGCCTGGTGCCCCTGCCCCGCCCCTGGGCGTCACCCGCCGCCCCAGCCAATGAAGTTCCTGGGCCGCCATCACCCCCCCCTCCAGGTGCGTGCCAGGTGTGCCCCAGAAATGCGCTGCGCTGTGCACACTCTGGCCGCCCCCACATGCCTGCCTTAGACCCAAATTGCAGTCACAGCTTTCTGGATGACCCTGTGGAGGACTGGGTAGGACTCTCCACCTGATGGCACACTTAGCTATTCCCGCTTCACTTTACAGATCAGGAAACTGAGGCGCAGCCACGGAAAGTGGTAGAGCCAGAGCCACAACACCTATCCTTCAGGGTAAAACCAAGCAATTCTGCGGCTTTTTTTTTCTTCAAAAAAAAAGGGGGGGATGGTGCCTCTGGCTCAGTGAGTAGAGCGCCAGCCCCATATACCGAGGGTGGCGGGTTCAAGCCCGGCCACTGCCAAACTGCAGCAAAAAAATGGCTGGGCGTTGTGGCAGGCACCTGTAGTCTCAGCTGCTGGGGAGGCTGAGGCAAGAGAATCACCTAAGCCCAGGGGTTAGAGGTTGCTATAAGCAGTGTGACGCCACAGCACTCTACTGAGGGCAATAAAGTGAGACTCTGTCTCTAAAAAAAAAAGATAAGATCATGAAAGACAAGGCCACTCAGAGGGGACTGAAGAGACAGGACAATTAATACAGCAGGTGCTCCTAGATTTGGGGACCCCAGAGGGACGGAGAGCGAGGGAGGGGGTGGTTAGGGTAATTATCTGGAAATCTCTGTATTTGGGGAAAGGATGTGGTTTAAATACATGAGGTGAAGAAGTATATGGCCCAGGCCTTCAGGAGAAGAGCAGGAAGAGAGGAAATGGACAAGGAGGATGAGAAGGGGAAAGAGGAGGAGGAGAAAGGGCGGGAGGGGGAGGAAGCAGGCAGCAGCCCAGACCCTGGGAGCAGAACTGCCCCTTACTCGCCGGCTCCTGTCTCCATCCTGTCTGCTCCACCCGGCTTCTGGAGGGCCAGGATTTCCCAAGAGCGTTTCTGCTCACCTCTGACATCGAGGAATTTGAAAACCAGACACCAGAGTACATGGATCCTGGACTCTGTTATTGAGGCTTTAAGGCAGTCAGTGCTTCTTTCTGGGCCCTCGTCCCATTACCTGTAATTTGGAGAAATTGAACTACATTAGAAGATCCTTTTCAAGAATGAGGATCTCCCTTCACACACACACAGACAATGCCCCTGGGCTGCCAGATGACTGTAGTTGTCATTTTAACACCAACTGATTAAGAAAGTGCTGAATGACCAAGACCTGCAATGACCTCAGTTACACTTTGGAAAAGGTGAGCAACAAGTATTGGAAAACATTTGTCCCTGTGTGACCTCTTACACAGACTTGCCAGGTGTGGTCACAGATTCCAGGTCACTGCTGTGTATCTGGTGCCCAGCCCAGAGCCAGGAGGGTAATAGGCATCTGAAATGACCAAGTCGACCAGATTAAAGCAAAGGTGGGCCATGGGCCCAAGGGGCATGCCACCATGTGGGAGGTGGGCATTGGAATCAGAGTGGAAGGGGTGGCGCCTGTGGCTCAAGGAGTAGGGGCCGGCCCTGTATACTGGAGGTGGCAGGTTCAAACCTGACCCCAGCCAAAAACTGCAACAACAACAACAACAAAATGACAAACGGAATCAGAGTGAAGACCAAGTCCAGCCTTGATAAGCCAAGGAGAACAATTCCCTGTGGAGTATTTAGGAAAAGGTTTCAGGTCACCAGTCAGAGGCTTTCCCCATGAGACAACTGGAGTTGTTGTTGAGTTATTCTGGATGAATAGAGTTTGAGGGACAAGCAGATCTGCTCACAGGCCTGCTGCTCAGGGAGTTCAGAGGAGAGAGGCAGACAGACCACCTGAGAGCCGGGAATAGACAGATGGAGACACAGACAGACCTACTCAGAAGACAGGAGGAGGAGGAGGGAGCTGGAACAGCAGCCCCAGGCCTCCTTCAGAACATGGGGCCTGGCCTCCTTCTTGTTCTCAAGAGATGCCTGGAGATGGAAGGTTGTGTATCCCTTCAGGGCCCTTCAAGGGCCAAGTGCCAAGTGAGGCACGTTCCCATGTAGGCCTCCCCATGTGTGAAGCAGGAGTATCTTCCCAATTCACAGACGAGGGGACTGCAGCCTAAAGATGCCAGCAATTTGCCAGCTGGTTAGGGCTGAGTTGGGGCAGGGTGATGCACCCTCTGGCCCATGCTGTCGCCAGAACACAAGCTCAGTCATCCAAGGGAAGAGAGGATTAACTCTTCATACACCAAAGCTTGGCTCCAAAAGGGAGGAGTCTCCCTGGGAGACCTGGGCACTTTCCCTGGTGAGTGGAATGGCTGCCTGTGAGGCAAAGGAGGAAGGCAGCTGGCTGTTCTGAAGCTGTGTGGGGGCACTCCTCTGCCCCTCTATGCCTGCCCCCCCAGGCTAGAGTGCCATGGCTTGAGCTGAGCTCACAGCAAGTTCCAAGTCCTGAACTTAAGCTATCTTCCTGCCTCACCCTCCTGAGTAGCCAAAACTATAGGCACCCACCACCATGTCCAGCTAATTTTTCTATTTTTAGTAAAGATGAGGTCTCGCTCTTGCTCAATTGGCCTCAAGCTCCTGATCTCAAGGGCTCCTCCTGCCTCAGCCTCCCGGAGTGCTGGGCTCACAGGTGTGACCCACCATGCCCGGCATGTGCAGGGCACTTCTGACTGTGGGACTCAGAGTGCACTGGTCACTCCCACCCCCAGAGCGGCCTGCTGGGGCCCAGGTGCCACTTCTCACTTCCTTTCAGAAGGGAGCACCATCCAGCTCACAGTGCACAGACAAGTGTCGGAAACGCAAGCTGAGCCCTGCTTTGCTTGCCCATTTGTTTTGTTAGTGGACACTTGGGTTGTCCCCACCTTTTGGCTGTTGGGAGCTATGCCACGGTGAACATGGTGTGCAAGTTTGTGTTTGTGGAACGTTGCAGTCACTGAAAGGAATGGAACACTGACCCGAGTGATCGCTGGATGAACTTGAAAACATCACACTGAGTGGAAGACGTCACAGAAGACCCTGTACCCACAGTGCCAGCCACACGACATGTCCACGGGAGGCAGATCTGTGCAGAGAGTAGGGAGGCAGCGGAGTTTCCCTCTGAGTGAATAGTCCTGCAACTAGCTAGTGGGGATGGCCACACCACACTGTGAATGAAGCTCACATCACTGAGCACAAATTGTACACTTGTGTATGTTACCACAATAAAAACTGTGTGTGTACACATTTATGCTACAGAAGTCAAATTCCAGACAGTGGATCTAGTTGTGCTCAAGCCCTTTATTGAGGATTCTTTTGGATTTGCAATGTTAGGAACTTTTTTCCTGATCCTTTCACCCGACAGACACCTGGGAGCACAGAGCCCTTGCCCCCTCACAGAGAAGTCACTGTCAACTGTGCCAGAGGGCCAAGGGAATTTGCCCTTCTGCGGTGGGGGGCACAGCTCCCAGGGCTGAGCCACTTCTCTCACACCTGCATGTCTGTGTCCCCAAAACCATATGTTGAAAATAGATCCAGTGGCAGGTGGGTCCAGTGGCAGTGGCTTCCCCCAAGCCTAGGGAAGTCCTGGCTCCCTGGATGAGTGGGACACTTGAGTTAACATAAAAGCACCTGAAATACCTGTTTATGTTGATCAAAAGCAGGACATTTCAGGGCGTGAATATGAAGCTAAAGAATAATACCCCACTATTTAGTCACCACCCCTACCAGGTTGGGGAAGGAAGGATGGGCAGGCTTCACGTGTTCACTGACAAAATTCCATGGAAAAATGCAAGAAGAGGCCAGCTTTCGTGGATAGTATTCCTTGCAGAAGTTAAGTAATGCACGTGCCCCAGCTTCCCTGCATGTACCTCCTAGGATGCCCACCCTGGCTACTGCATCACGGCCCTTCTGTCCAGACTTCTGCCCAGCTCTCCATAGATCCCTGTCTAGAGGCTTTTTTCTGCTGTCCACAAACAGGCTCAGCTCATGTCACTCCCAAATTCAGTCCTTGCACCTGAACCCTCCCCCTGCCAGCAAACCCACCCTTTTGCACCCTCTCAGGACGTCCAAGGGCAGCAGTGGCCTGTGGCCCCTGAATGCCTTCAGCCCTCTTTCCATTGCAGCGCCACCCGGAGGCTTTCGTATGGTCATGCATGGTACACAGAAAACGTTTGGGAAATGCTCGTGAGGGGGCAGTGGGCAGCAGAGCTGGATGTGCTGGGCCTCTGCTGCCCATGTCCCGCCTTTCCTGGTGACCCACCCCTGCCTCCCTCGTGAGTTCTCCTTCTCTGGTCACAGCATCACAGCCTCCCCACCCGCCTTTGAGCAGATTACAGGAGAAACGGGATTGTTGGATGGACAGAGAAGGTCTGCAGACTAGAAAGCACTTTATAAACTCTGATGCCCTATACACTTGGGTCTGTGGTGATTAACTCTGCTTAGGTTCCAATTCTGGCTCCAGCCTGTGGCTGGTGACCTTGGGTAATTTAGCTGATGTGTGCCTCAGTTTGCTCACTCATCAGATGGGAATGGTAACAGCCTACTCTATAGGACTGGGCTATGGATTAGGGTTAACACCAGCATGTGTTTGGAACAGCGCTCAGCATTGGGTGGACACACAGACAGTGCTTCCCACTAAGCTATTTCTCTAATTACATGGCGCACGGTTGCATGCCTTCTCATAGGATCCCTTGACAGCAGGCTCCATGCCTCCATATATGCCTGGAAAAAGTGGGGCTCAGGGAATGTTTGTGGACTGAATGCTTGACCCTCAGCCTAGATGAGCCATTTTCAGAGGAGGAGGCAGCCCACGCTGCACCTGGGATAGAAGGTCAACTTGCC